CCCTTACAAAAAGGGACACATGAAAAGATTTCAAGTTAGGCATACTAGAAATAATAGAAGTAATGATTTCGATAAAAATGAAGGCTTTCGTTCCCATATGTCACGTATTCCAATGGGATGTACTTTAAATACGTGTTTACCATTTCGCAAAGAATAAATGAATTAATCACTATCTAAGGTAATGGAACGCCGAAGGCGCGACCACAGTTACTAATGCTTCTACTGCCCAGGTCTGCATAATTTATTACCCCGGCCCACATATGCCGCTGGATTGCACGCCCCCTTCCTTGGGTAGAGAGAAGTATCACTCTTCTCTCGACCTAAGGAGACAGAAGACGGAACCTGCGAACACACATTGGGCCTATAACACCTGACCCAACCCCGACTAACTGGATAAGTGGTGTCTAGGATAAAATATAAAAACGGTATGGGAAAAAGCCCAATCACTGGAACCTGTTCTAATGCACTTGACACCAATGTGTCAAGGCCAAGGCCTGAAGGTAGCAGATGCAATCAGGGCATCGCTCCAGTCTGTCAGTGTAGGACACACTTAACTGAATGCATGGTAAGGTCTTTTCCCTGGGCTACGTTTTTTCTTCCATAGGTTTGTTCGCAGCTAGCCTTCCCCTCCATTCTTCTTTTCTCTCATAGGCTTGAGCCATTCCGAGTTATGCTCTCGCTTCTTTTCCTTCATAGGCTCGAGTCTATCATACATTTCAGTCGCGAGGCTGATCGAGCCAATCGATCGTTAACTGTGGTGGCACTGATAGACGGACTTAAGCCGTGATTGCCTCTGAGGCATTAGGTACAGTCTATTTAATTCCATAGGCCGTAGCACCTGGGAGTAGAAACTTTCTGGGTAGGGTTTGTTTGGACAGACTTGCGGCCTCAACCCCCTGACGACGCAGGCTGCCTGACAAATTTCTAGGATAGGATCCTTCGCTGTCCCTTCTCTTTCTAACTTCCTTTAGCCTTGCCCCATACCTGCAGGCTGTCTCTAATAAAACCTGACGGCAGAAACTCTCTGGATAGGGTTTGTAAGTCAGACTTGTGGCCTCAACCCCCTGACGACGCAGGCTGCCTGACAAATTTCTAGGATAGGATCCTTCGCTGTCCCTTCTCTTTCTAACTTCCTTTAGCCTTGCCCCATACCTGCAGGCTGTCTCTAATAACTTGGACTCTCATCTCTAAGTCCCACGCTTCTGGGTCCAAAGGTTGGGCATTTTCTGTTGCCCTTGGGTAGTTTCGGACAATTTCGGCACCAAATAACTTCTCTTACTCTATCTGTGCACCTTGGTTGGGGGCAGTTTACTGCCCAGCCAGGTAACTGCCTATTTAGCCAATATCTTTATTTAATATTAGGTCCATTACTATGTATATATATATATAAAAGGGTCAATTACTTTCGGCATAACCAGCACTTCACAAACAACCAAAAGCTATTCTACATGGAACTGGGAGCGAAACCCATAGAAGTGAAGAAGATTCCTGACAAGGCGGACCTGGAAGAATTATGGTCGAATATCATGGAGTGTCCGGTGAACCACAACGTCGATGGCACATGGCTCCGACGTCAGAGGGAGTTAACAGGTTTTCCCGAAATGAGTGACCCCCAGATTAGAACATCTGATCTGAAGAAGGCACTCAAACAAACATCGAACTGAAAGAGCACCGGACACAACCGTCTTCAGAACTTCTGACTGAAGCAGTTAACATCGCTACATAAACAACCCCTCAGAGAAATGCAGAAAGTAGTGAAGAAACCCCTCGGAGATGCTGGATTTGCTCACCGCAGGAGTCATCCACCTACAGCCGAAAACGCCGAAACCGAGTTACCTTGGAACTACAGGCCTATCACCTGTCTGCCAACCCTCTACAAAGTGCTGTCTCCCATCCCAGCAGCAAGAACCGAACGACACATCATGTCGGAGGAGCAAAGGGTTGTCGGAAAGGATCGTACGGCTGCAAGGAACAACTCCTACTCAACCGTATGGTCATGGAGAAGCAGAAGCATGCCAGAAGCAGGAAGGAGAACCTCTCGATGGCATGGATCGACTACTAGAAGGAATATGACTCCGTGCCCCATTCATGGATCATCGAGTGCCTCAGGATGTACAAAATCAACCCTGTTGTGGTCAACTTCCTCCAACAGACGGTCCCCGCTGGAAGACGGTCATGTCCCTCAATGGACAAGACTCCACCATGACAACCCGCGAGATTTCTATCAAACGCGAGATCTTCTAGGAAGACACGCTGTCTCCTCTCCTCTTCTGCCTAGCTCTCAACCCACTCAGTACCGAATTGTCTCGGACTGAATGTGGTTATTACATGGGAAAGGGGAAGAATGCAGACCATTGCATGAACCACCTTCTCGAAATGGACAACCTGAAACTATACGCCTCCAACGAGAAAAAGCTCGAAAGCCTACTGTACGTTGTCAGCATCTTCTCGAGAGACATCTGCATGAAATTCGGACTTGACAAGTGCGCGAAGCTCTCGGTCGACCGCGGAGTCCTCACCCCTATGGGAGATATCACCAACACCAACGACGAACAACTCCGAGAGCTCACGGGCCTGGCACCTTAACCTCGGTGTGGAAGAGAAGTCTTCAGTGGCTGCCAAGCGCAAGAAGCAGAGACTGACGACTGAATACCAAACGTAGAGTCCGCCTCTTACTCAAGACCGAGCTGTCCGACAGGAATAAGATCTCGACATGGATGCCGGTAAACAACACTACCCATTGGAGTGATGGACTGCGATTAGTCCAATTTAAAAAAAATCGCTGCTATCACCGTGTTATTGACCAGTCTCTGTATCAGGCACTCTTCGGTCACGAGCCTAATGTTGGCTTGGCGACCACATCGTTGCCTCAGTGGATGCTGAATCACATCGCAACAGAGGAGGAGCTCAAAGCTGCATTCACTGACCAGACTGTCGCTCCCGAACACGCAGTAAACAAAGGTCCTGATGTCGAAGCCTCTCGACTTCTTGTCGGTCACAATCCGCAAATGGTCGAAATTGAGGCTGGCCCAGTTGATCCCTATGATCTAGGGGTTAGGTTAGGTTGCGCCTCATTCAGAGCTTCAAGAGGATTCTATTTCACCGGACGACCAATCAAAAATCTCAAATGATGAAGGAGAAATTCTAGAATATCTTTCTGCAATCACAAGGGCCCGTGCAAGGGCGACAGCGGGACTGAGAAAGGCCGCAGAATACATGAAAAGAGGCTCACAGAATCGACTGACACCTCTGAAGATCGGTGACAATGTCCTGGTACCCACACCGTACGTGGATCGTGGACCATCTGATCCCAGAAACCTGGTTGCTGTTGTGATGAGTGTGTCAGAGGACAAGTACCAGCTCGGTACGGAGAAGGCAATTCTCGCCAGTTTGTACTCCAGGAATCAACTGGTTGAAAGCATATAATCTGAGAAAATACTACCATTTCGTCCCATGGTCAAGGAAATGAGCATCGGGAGTGGGCAATGATACTTGCGCTGAAGTTATACTGGTACATGCAATAACAAAATATGTAAGTGCGTTGCCAATAATGCTCAGTGCAACTCTCAATGCCACGGATCCTCGACGTGTTACAATAAATGAATGGAAATCTAAAAGGTGTGACTGACAGAAAGGCTTGAATGGATTGACAAAGTTCTTGCAGATTCTTTCCTTATGGACAATTTGACATCATGAATAAGTTTCTTCATTTTATTCATGAGTGTGATCAACTACTTCATTTTGTGGTGTTGACATGTTTGTTCGAAAATAAAGCGAGAGCGGCAGTCGAAGGCATACGATCTGGCCGTGAGGAAGTGCTTCTCGGAACTGACACGGAAATACGCAATCCAAGTTTACATGAACAAGAGCTTGCCCATGTAAGTTCAACCTGCACGCCGTGATGTAGTGTTCAAGTTAATCCAGCACGATTTGGCCGTGCAAGTTTAACTTGAATGGCAGGGTCAACTTGCATACGATCTATATACATATCCTTAAAATCGGTGTAAGGGCCAAAAGTAAGCAAAAACCTTTAGGAAATACGGTTTCTAAGATTTTAACTTGGATTACCGAGACTATAATTGGCGAGGAACTGAGTCGTGTTTGCATCTCTATGTTCTCCCTGATTCTTTTAATAGCAAATACATGTATTTTTTGGGAAAACTAAATCCTTCATGATGAACAAATTTGCGGCGTGACGTGTTTAATAAAGATACAACGTATTTTAAGACTTTAACTTGGATTGCCATGATTATAATTGAAGAACGAATCCCTGCTCCATCTCCGTGTCCCTACTGCGCCCTACCATGCAAATTTCCCATTCCATTACATGTGTTTCATTATTGAGTATGCATAGATAGTTATCGTACGTCGCAAAAGAAAGGCAAAACAATCTTGACTCATTGAAAAGATGCGTGGGTCCGGGTCTGCTCACTGGGATAGTTGGGACAGAGGGGGATGTCACAGAATTCCCATGTGATATTTGGGTCAACGACAAAGCACCAGGGTCGCTCCTGCAATGTCGGATTTCTGCAAAAATTCTGGTGAATTACGGGAAGTCTCGTTTCAAAATCATTAGTATTGTCCTCATAGAAATCCGCTTTGTCGCTTTTGGAATCCCAACGGACACAAGTCCTTCCGGTCACCGTCTTCCTCATTGTCCCTATGTATTCCTTCCCATTTTCAGTCTGTCGGCATTCTGGATATCCCTCCACCACTGAACCTGACAGAATATATGAAAGTAAAACTCCAATGTGCTTCATGGGGCTCTCAAAGGAACTTAATGACCTTTCATTATTTTATTGCCTACATTGAGGATATAAAATCGTTTCATGCAAAACAATTAGAGGTTGTATCTAGATTATTTCGTATGAGCTGTTCTCAAATGGGGTCTCTTTTTTACTTCATGTGATCCCATGTAAAAATTTGTCTCTTGTAGGTGGCAGAAGTTATCTTTCCAAAAAAAGAGAACCTAAGAAGAGCAGGCTGGATTTTGAGGTATTTGCCTGAACAAATACCAATTCTCTTGACAGTCTGGCCCTAGTTGACTCCAGTCCTCCACATTCTCTACGACCACGTCTCATTTCACTGATTACTTAGACATTCGAAAATGAGAGCCGCTTTGAACGGGGATCAGGATCCCGTTCGATTTTCTATTTCTCTACCGGGGATACCCCACTGCTCAGGATTTTCTTCAAGTGGTATAATGAATTGGCATCGAAATGAAGAAACCTCAATGCATACCTTCCACAGCCGATCTCTGATACATTTCCAAACAATAAGGAATATCGCAATACTGGCGACCAATGTTTTCCTCGGTGTAACACCAGGGCCCCCTGCCATCCATGTCTGGATTACGACAGTTGTTGTGACGACTGTCCACGCCATGATCAGGGAAATAGGGCAAAGAAAAGATCATGGAATGCTTGTTAGGAGTCTGGCTCAGCCAGGGTTGACATTTCTTCCCATCCACCGTCACGTTCGTTTTCCCTGCATACTCCATTCCATGATAGGTCAGCTTGCAGTTCACTGGCTCTGCCATGTCAGAAAACATCAGTTGACTTTTTATTATGTAATAACCAGATAGGCGTTGACGAGATGTTGAGTCGATGATAGCATGGTAAAGAGCGATTTATGTCGAGTGTAACTTAGGATTTATCTATATATAAATAGGGTGGTTAAAAAATGACGCTCTACCGTTTTCTATGGGAGAAACAAAGTTTCACGCAGGCAGCAAAAAAATTGAATTAAATACGCGATCGATATTGGACAGTTACAAGGTGTTGAAATGCTTGCAAGATTTTTTCAGCACCCCTGCCCAAGTCGTGCGATGCCCATTTTGAGGTGAATAAAAAGTGCTTAGAGGTGGATCATTCCACCTCAACAGAGGTGACTCCCTGTGCTCCACCATCTCATAATTTAATGAACTTTTCGACTTTAACTTTTCAAGGAACAGTCGGATCCATCTGATACTCGAGAGAGAGGTTCATGAGTTTAAATGGTTTTTTTCATTTCCGTAAGATGGCGCTGTATCCCGATAGAGGGCGCTGTTGTTGACTGGTTGATTAAGGGTGATTAAAGAAAGGTGTAATGCTCCACAAGTAAAATGTGTGACCGCCATACGAAGGCTATTAGTTTAGTGGGTCGATTTCGCTCAGAGGAAGGTGGTCCTTACTGGCTTACTATAGAAGGCGCTGTTTTGAGGATAAACTCTTAGGTTACAATTCTGGGGCTATGAAGAATCTCTGCTTGATTCGAATTCCAAACATCAGATTGAAAATCACTTCACAGAAGCAGGAGTAGCTAAAACTCACGAGAAAAATCCTAATGATACACGGAGTTTTACCAAAATTGCAGTTATGAGAATCGAAGTGGGATGTTTCAAATATATTATTAGTCTTTTATAGAGTGAACCGTGCCGAATGCGCGTTCATAGAGAGTTTGTTTGCCTGAAAGGCAAACAAATTCGCTAGGTAGATATTAAGACGATTGTGAGCGACTGAGTGGGTGACGCTAATTCTACCCATGTTCTAGATAAGGTAGAAATATGAAACTTGGTACAAATGTACCTTTTGGGATGCAGAGTTTTAAAAAATCCTGCTTTGGAGGTATATGCCCTGGGGGCGCCCATTTTGGGGGAGATGTTTTCAACGATATACATTTACTTCAGTCTAACAGAGAGACATGGGAAGCTGAAACTTGGCATGGACGTGCCTAATGGGACACGCAGTTCAGGAAGAATGTGAAGTTTCTGATGCATGCCCTGGGGGCATATTTTTGGTGGGTGAAGTTTTCAAATAATTTTTTTGTCCTACCGCATTGGGCAGAAATAGAAAACTGAAACTTAGGACTCTAAAAAATGAGGTCACTGTAAGTTCAGGAAAAAGTCAAGTTTTGTGGTGCATACCTTCAGGGCACAGTAATGGGTGGCATCGGCTTTTCTTAATATATGTTTTCAATAACAAAAAGACCAATCGGATCAGGGTGAAGGAGGAAATACATTGTAAATAATTGGAGTAATTATTTCGAAGGAAATATCTGTTCGTTCTCTCTCGGTACACATTTTGAGAGACACATACTTTTTAATACGTTTTTCCCACTTTAAAAATAAATTAATGCATGAATCATTAACCTGGACACTGCAGCGCCGAAGGGGCAGACATAGCTAGTGAAGTGTATAGGTATGTATTGAGAAAACGATTTACACAAGTAACACGACTGGTTGGCTTTAAATGCTTAAAATGTGAATCCAAGAATAACATGTTCTGTTTTAATTTGGAAATTGCTCAAATTAAAAGCTAAAGTTGGAATCGAAAGTATCAGCACTTGATGTAATGTATCCTTTAATTAGTACATTGTTAATTATATTCCCCTTCACGCGACGTGAGCTCGTTCGCCAGGTTTTGGATTTCGATGGTTGATATGAGGTTAGACGATATCCAGTGACAACTTCGCAAACCTTTACGATTAGGACAGAACGGGATGTGGCAGTATTCCCAGTTCAGATTTTCGGAAATGAAGCACCACGGGCGTTTTCTAAACCCCGGATTCCGGCAATAGTTTGCTTCCTCATTCGTCCAGGAACCCACGTTATCCAAAACTTGAAACTTTTCTTTGTAGCGGTCTTCAGCAGAAATGTGGGAGACCAGGATTTTTTCCAAGGCTTTCTTGAGTAGTGGATGTCCCCAAGGCAGACATTTATTCCCTATTTCCGTTCGGCTTTTGATGCCCTTATATTCCTTTCCCATTTCTGTCTTCCGACATTCCGGATATAAGCTTGGGACATCATCTTCGTCTGTAAATCAAGGTTATACTTTATTTCTCAATCGTAAGTGATAGTAGAAAACGATATTTAAAGATGCTATTTCCAGTATTAGGTGGGTTAATGCTAAAAGAAAACTTCTAAGGGCATAACTTTGTAGGTGGTAGGGTTTACAAGAAATGCTTTCGCTTTAGTGGCTCTGAATGACAAAGGAAGGGATGACGTGGTGGACAAATTCATGTTCGGATAATAAGGAAATAGATATATAAGGTGGTTTTAAAAAATTTCTCTACCGTTTTCTATGGGGGAAACAGTTTCATAAAGGGAGCAAAAAGGTGAAATTTTAATACACAATCGATATTTCACAGTTACTAGCTGCTGAAATGCTTGCCAGCTTTTTGTCAGCACCCCAGCCTAAGTCGTGCTTTTCCCACTTAAAGGTGAATTAAAGGTGCTTCGAGGTGGATCATTCCACCTCCTGTGTGCTGATTACCTCTGCTCGACCGTCTCAGAATTCAATGAGCTTTTCAAAGTTAAATTTTTGAAGGGAGCTGGATCCAGTTGATACTTGGCAGAGATTCATGAATCAAATAGGTTTTTCCTTTAACTTCCTCAAGATGGCGCTGTATCCCGATAGGGGGCGCTGTTGTTCACATAGGTGACCGAAGTTTAGTTTAAAAAGAAAGGTTCAATGCTCCTCCTGTAAACTGTGTAACGGGGCAATACATGGCTAAGAGACTTCTCCAGAGAAAAAGAAGACAATCACCTCAACACCTCCACCTCCTTCTCAACACCTTACTTATGAACTTATGAATCTAATTTTTACTGGAATACACGAATCGTACTTTCTCCCCATTTAAAACGGTGAACATATTTTTTTAAATCTCCTTCAGTCTCCTGGTCAACAATAGCGCCCTCTATCGAGATACAGCGCCACCTGGAGGAAGCGGTGGAAAAACCTATTTGATTCATGAACCTCTGCCACTTATCAACCGGATCCAGCTTTCCTTCAAAAAGTTAACCTTGAAAAGTTAATTGACTTCTGAAACGGTCGAGCACAGGTAATCAGCCCACAGAAGGTGGAATGATCCACCTCGAAGCACCTTTAATTCACCTTTAAGGGAGAAAAGCACGACTGAGGCAGGGGTGCTAAAAAAAACGCTGGAAAGTACTTCAAGTCCTTGTAACTGTGAAATATCAATTGTGTGTTAAAATTCCATGTTGTTTGCTGCATTTATGAAACTTTTTCTCCCATAGAAAACGGTCGAGCGTTTTTTTTTCATCCACCCTATATACTTTTAAAATACGTTCTCTTCTTGCTTCTTCCTCCTGGTATTTTCCAATAATTATTTTTCCGTTGCTGTGAAAGGGGACGATTTGGAAAGCTGAAATGTTACAAACGTGAATTCATAAAAATGTTATTCAAGAAGTTCCTTTTCGGGATCCATTCCCGTGGGGCACAAACTTTTAAAGAAAAAATCTTTTCCGGTGAAGGAGCAGCTGTACGTATATTGCTGAAACGCAGTGCAAAATTATCTGGAGGGCTGTCACATGCATAGTATATATTCTTGAATGAAATACCTTCAAATACCTTCCGCTCTTTCCAATGTTTTTTTTTTTCCTTTTCATAGACTGGGGAAGTGATCCAATTTTCAATTCCTAACAGTTGTTCCTTTTTCAGAGGATTCAAGGAAAATAAGGCTTTGGTCCTGACACCTTCCATGAACTTACTGATGCTCCCCATTGAACATTGGGGAGCCCGACTATTTGTTGCTTTGTCAAAGTCATTTTTAGAGAAGTGCAAGAAGACTCTGATTTACCGAAAAATTCATTCGGGATGAAATCTAGGGGGGAAATTATGGATCTCTATTGGTTTAATGTTGCTAACATCAGACTGGGAATTACTACATTCATGTAGCAATGAAAACCACCCACGTCCCAAAGAGTTTTGCTATATTGGTTGGTAGATGCATGAAAAAAGAATTTTTCGCAAAATATGGATAGGGTTGCTATGAAGTCCGGGATGCGTTTAAATAGTAACTCTCCAACTATTCCAGATAGCATGAAAAAGTCAATACCATTAGAATCTATGACTTTCAAAGTATTTTTTTGCATGCACCAAAGCGTCATAGATCAACATATCCGCCATCCTGGACAATGCAGCGTTCGAATTTAGTCTGCAAAGATTGCAAGGATTTGGAAGAATGGAGCGGATGTGCAAATCTCTGAATCCATTTTCTCCGGGAATGTTTAATTCTTTCAGATAGATCAAAAGGGCTGCTACTGAGAAAAAGGTATATTGTGTGCTATAGTTAGCTGAACTAAAATATTCTCGGGACGTCAGGGAATTTTTTTAATGAAAAAGGGTGAAATGGATTTAGAGAAGAGGTGCACTTTCATGGCCTCCCCGATCTCCTGACCAAATCACATAGGACTCCTTTTTTAGGGGTCACGTCAAAAGCATTGTTCATGTCACGCATCCTCAAAATGTAGCATATATGGAATATCGGAACTGTCGTGCATTCCTAGCCATTAATTAGTCATTTTTTCAGATCTTTATTTGAATGCAGATATTTTTCTATGTATATACCGTACAAGTGTCCCGTGAATCAGCATACCATTTTAAAAAGTCATATCTACTAAAACACTTGCCACAAAAAAGATGTAACATTAACCGAATGATTGTCTGTCATTTCTAATTTTCTTTGCCAGTAATGAAGGGAATTCTGAGTTTTGAAGTTGCCTCAAAAGTTCCTCCGCCTGTTTGAATACATTTAGCATGAGATTCGGCTCCAAACAATAGCCGAAACAGGGTCTAAACTCCAACAGGACTCCCTAAGACCTCCATCCAGGAGGCACTTTTTCGTTTTTCCCTAGCGTCGATGGCGAAGCCTTTTCTCAGGGAAAGCAAAAGCAAAGTAAGCTAAATGTATATACGAGGTTAAAAACGTTTCAAGACTCGGGTCACCGTGAACGAACGCTCTGTTGCATATCGAAATAAATATTACTGAGCTTTGTTACGGTTCTGTACTTGGTGCATATCAAGGGCACGTGTGCCTAACTTCACATGGGAATGACTGGGTTGCGCCACTTGCAACTCTTCAACTGTCAGTCGGTGGTGTGCATTCACCTTGTGAAGATGTCATGTTTCGAACAGCGTGCTAATGTGAATTTTGCCAGAGACTATGGAAAACGGCAGCAGAGACCTTTGGAAAGTCGATACAGGCGTAGGGGGACAAGACAATCTCAAGTCCGGGAGAGTTTGAGTGGTATCGACGATTCCGAGACGGCCGAGTGACCATGGACGGTGATGTTGGATGTGTTCTTCGATCACGACGGTATTTTTCATCTTGAGTTAATTCCGGAGGGAAGAACAGTGAATAAAGAGATGAACGTAGATGTGCTGCGGCGTCTCCGAGAAGCAATCCGGAGGAAACGACCACCGATGGGGGCAAACAAGAATTGGATCCACATTCACGAGCACAAGCGCACAGATCTTTGGAAGGTAGCTGTTACCTTACAGACTCTGGTAGCATTTTACTAAAACACCCCCCCCTACTCCCCGGACCTTTCACAACACGACGTTTACCTTTTCCTAAGAATGAATAAGCGCCTGAAAGGACGACGTTTCTGTTCCACATAAGTAGTGAAGAAAGCTACGGTGGTGGCACTGAACGGGGTAGCTAAAAATGGGTTCCAGGTCTGCTTCGAGGAACCATCCAGACACTGAGAATTGTGCGTAGAGAGCTAGGGTCACTACTTTAAAGGTGCTAGACTAGCAGTGCCGTAACTCTCAGCGTTTGCGTACAATAAACCCAGTCGCCACATTTTTTGCACCTAACTTGTATATCTCTCATATATACAGTATACGAGGGATATATACGAGAGGTATATCGTATACATTTATGTTTTTGGAGGATGCGTGAATTTACTAGAGAAAACATAAAGTTTATCCATTTGTTATGAGAGGATTCAACAAGGTGTACCATGAACTGCCCGAAACCGATTCACCCTTCTAATAAGCGTTCGAACCAATTTTCGTATTTTTCTGATACCGATTCATCATCGTGGAAATATTTGTAAAGAATTTTTTTTTCATCAATGCTAACAACGCTGACTTCCTTGTTGCAGCTTGGAAAATAAGTTTTATTTTCTTAGATCTCTTTCCATCGAACAATTCTACCAATACAGCTTATTCCACTTCATTCTGCCATGACTGCATTCCTCAAACAGCAAAAAACCTACAACTGGTTATACGAGGGACTCCCTCAAACTTTCCGGATATGGAAAACTGAAAATTGTTGGGTGTTACTCAATCATGTTACTCAATGACATTTTTCTGAAATTGGATGTTACCTTTTCTATGCCCATTCTCATCCTTGCAAACCATTTCTCAAAGCATTTTTTCCATTCAGATGTTGGAATATCCGATATTGCCAACAAATTCAACATCTGCTTATTCTGGAGACTTAAAACGTTGTTCAATAAGCGATTCCTTAACTCTTGATAAGAGAAGGATGTGACAGGGAGTCTGCTCTGGACTAGGGAGTGAATGTGGGAACACCATGATGCCAGCCCAATGCAGAGAATCCTATGTGAGGGCGGCTGTGTGACTGGCCACGTTGTCATGCTGGAGCATACATGATTTCAAATGTGAATTGGCCCTGCTATTCTTCAAAGATTCGAATACCTTTAGAAGGCGCGATTCTACAGGGTGTTTCAAACTATTAGTCACCATTTTAAAATAATATAACTTTTAAAGTATAAAAGTTATCACGACGGCTCTCCTACCATTTAATTGAACAGACTGCAAATTTTTTAGAGTGCAGTTGGCAATCGGAGATTGATCTCATTCATTTACCAACGTGACGAAGAACCCATTAACACGTTAAAATTCGTGAGCAAATCATCTCAAACCGCTCTCTACAAATCTTCAACGATTGTTTTTCGTGGTCCCCAACTAGCCCCAACATCAACCCATGCAACTTTTTCTATAAGTTTAGAGGATACTTAAAGGAAAATTGTTCAAGAGAGTTGACAGTGACAGCGCACAGCTGAGTAACTTAATAGAAAACATTCTTGGACGCCTAAGCGCTGTCAATAATGCGCGTGCTTGTCATAATGAGCATACCTCAAGCTGAATTGCGCAGGAAAAATACTGCGAAGTCTGCTCTATTTAGTGGCATGCGAATTGCTGCTGTAGCTGGTATGCATTAAAATGTATATTACTTTGAAATGGTATGGCGTCTAATTTATATGAAACACCCTTTACCTACCACTTCCATCTCACAGTCTTTTGACCCTGAAGAGGTATGGTGACTATGCGACCAGTGAAAGAGAAGATACTAGCCACCAATTGCACCCCCCCCCCTCCCACGCATCCGAGCTGCTTGACCATGGGTGGAGTCGATTCACAAGGGAAGAGCCAGACAGTGGAGTGGCGCTTTGTCGCTGGGTCAAATTGAAATATCCAGGATTCATCTCCTGTGATGATGCCATAGATGGCTTTTGAAGACGCAGTGATGAACTTTGGAGCATGAATTCACACCATTCCACCCTGGCCTCCTTTTGACTTGAGGTGAGATCATGAGGGACCCATCGGTTAGTGACCCTCCTCAGACCAATAAGTCTGTGCAGGATGTCATTCCTTCTTCTCTTCAATGTTCTTCCGTGCAATGACTACATTTTCATCTGTCACTACAGATGATGGCTCGTCCTTCAAGGACACCCTTCCCCTTCGAAACTCGGCGAATCAAAGATTGCACTACGAAAGGGTGCTTCCTCTCCAAAAGCATGTTGCAGGTGTTCAAGTGTCTCCTTTGAGCCGAGTCCTCTTTTGAAGTCATCATCGGTTCAAAGCAACATTGAATTCGGAAAGTTTTTACATTGGCTGACATTGATTGTCCGAACTTGGAGAACAATTCTCAGGCTCAGAGGAGGCATAAGAAGACCGCATCCAGAAACTTCTGGAATGACCCTCCTATTCCGTTCCGGTGTCAGTGGGATACTTTGTTTTCAGTGGGATACTTTTGGATTAGAAGTGCAAATTTTGCTGTCTGCTCACCGTAGTCCAGGCAGAGTTGATCTAGTTTGATTTAGAGGAACGGCAAGAAAAAAACCATCTGTAATTATTACTTGGACTGCTTCGAGTAATCACTCTTGTGCGAGATCGAGGGTGGTCACGCGTTTTGAATGGTTTGATGTCATGCCCTTATTATGATGGAAATACACTGTACGATGAGATGAGACTCACTTTGACATCGAACATCTTTGTCTTGAAGGGAGGTTTCCCAGGTGTCATCAGCCATGAAGGAGCAGGTGGCATAGTGCCGAGGGGACCCATCGGTGAATCCTCCAGTATGGAGGCAGGTGTAGAGGACTTTGGCCCCCGGAGGTGCCGGGTATTCCCCATCCCAATTCTCATATGTCACGTTCACGTTCTTCATTCTTGGGTGCTCTCTCGTACACGATGCTACACGTACAGTATATGAAGCAGAATGCATCGATGAACGGAGAGTCTGCTTACCACCATTCATTTCGGGGTCCTTCCCAATGGTCATCTCTGAATAGCGTCAGAGCTTGAATAATTTTTGTTCAAAAAGTCTATTAAAACCAACTTAAATGTGGCCTACCTGGGGATAATAGCCTAGTGCGAGCTTTTGGAGATGTACAATTGGAAATGTTGGGGATACAGATTTCAACAAAAATCAGCTTCATAAAAGAGTGATGTGTATGCGTTAGCATTTCATCCGTACCCAATTCCTGGTTTCAATTGTGCGCTGTGAAGTTCCTGGGTAAGTGTTTGGAACCATGCGTCATCCAGGTGTGGCAAATGAAGTTATCAGTCACATAAGTGGATAATCGAAGCGAAACACATGTTGATACGTGATTCACATATGAAACGCATAGAAATGTGAATTGAGAACTTCGTATATGTGGACATTAAATCACATGAGTTCACAAATGCGAAATATTCCCCGTAGAGACTTGTGTACATCCCAGAATCGATGGCCAGAACGATGATGTTGGGGATGTTGAGGATTGAGCGCTATCCTACTCTGTATCTATTTATTTCTGCAATGCTACGAAATGAGAATTTGCCACAATCCCCTAGATCCAGGAATGGACTTGCAATCGATGCCGCATGAGCTGTTTGGATTTGAATGTGAGATAATGCAGACTGTTTGTCCTCTTGCTTTGTTAAGACGAGAAATCTTTTCTGGATCCATGGCCTTTTCAACATGGAGGGAACCCCAAGGGGAAGTACACAGAGTACCGTGCAAAGAGACGCTCTGTGACAACTGTATTACATGTTTAGTTTTAGTTCTATTTCGGTAGGATTAAAGCTGTCCATACCCTCCGCTAGCATAGCGGCACTGAAAATGTTTACAGTCATATGACTCGAATAAATTGGTGCAGTCATCGCCTGGGTGACTCGAATTGATTTGTTGTAAGCATTTAAAAAATTATGCGTGTCGTTTGGCACATATTATTGCGAGTGACATAAGCCAAAGTGTGTGGGATGACACCATGAAGAAGTTCTGGTAAGTGGACACGTTTTAAATGACACACGTGAAAAGATCTAGTTAAAGATGTCACTCGACTCACTCAGGACATGCTTTTCAGAACCAAAATAAATGTGTTCTTTTGCTACAAATATAAAAGAGGCAAATGGCACATTAAAACATGCCATTTTTTGGTAATACATGAATGAGATTAGCTTAGTGCGAAGACGCACAGAGTACGTTTAACAATTTCACCCCAGTACCTCATTCCTCGCACTCAAGTGGGCCTCCTTTCCTGAAAGGAAAAAGACCACTTATAGTCCCGTCCTGTCCGTCCGTGTGTCAGTGTGTCACACTTTGGTTGTCCAACGATAACAACAAAAAAAAGCATTTGTTTGATCAATGCTAAAATTGGCCAGCGTGATATGAGCAAGATACAGGCTGAGTTCGTTTTGTGGTGAATTTGAACCAAAATTGTCATGTTTATTGCAATTTCCTTAGTTGAAACTTGCTAGCGGAGGGGAAGCCTTGAGTACTTACGAGCTCTTCAGGATTTAGATCCCAATGCGCATGCGCTTACGATCCAGGCTTTGATCGCGGCGCCGTGTCAGCATCCATAGCTGTCAGTTCCCTACCAACCTTTGTGGCGGATGGATCCAACCACGCACAGCCCTCCTGCGTCCCATCATTGTTTCATGGGCACCGTTAGTCTATGTTTACCACACAGCAAAGCAGAAACGTACAGTCAGGTACACATTTTGTACGTCATGAGGTACAAACGTTGTCGTAAAATAAGTTCGTTGAAAAGGTACACATGTGTATCTTTCTTATCTCTATTCACATCGGGCTTAAGGGGGTTCAAAAACCGGTTCTAGACCTCAATTGAGCTGCACTGAGAACCCGGACATCTGCGTCAGCAACGTACACATGTGTACGTCTGGACCACACGTGCAGACCCGAGGGACACAATAAGGGGGTTCAAAAACCGGTTCTAGACCTCAATTGAACTGCACTGAGAACCCGGACATCTGCGTCAGCAACGTACACATGTGTACGTCTGGACCACACGTGCAGACCTGAGGGACACAATATGTACCTCTCACATTTGTATCTCTCCTTGTACGTTTCTACTTTGCTGTGTGATACACAATGCACTTACATACCTCACATTAACTATGCCATGACTATTTATTCCATTGCTAATAAGTCAGCCCTGAACTCCTTCAATAGTCTTAAAACAATGTGTGAGAATTATCCACTCAAATTCCAGACACCATCCCACCCTCTCCCTTTTCACCAATGATTAATGGCTCTACATTGAACTTTCATTCTTCATCATCTCACAACTTATGCACAAAATCTCTATTGGAACTGCTTCGAGGTACCTCGTCATGTTTCTCCCGACCAGGAAACACCACAAAACTACCTCCAGTCCCACATATCCATGAAATCATGCCTTTATCGGCTTAACGATAGACACAAAGGCAAATCTCGGCAGTGTAGAAAACGGCTCATGCGTTTTGTAGCCTTTCTCGAAGAAGTTTCGACGACTACTTCCGAATCGGGGAGAAACTTTGACTCTCAGATGTCAGGATGACAGGCCCAAATGGCGTCCGATGGGAATTCCAGGAGGAATTTAAATCTTTAGAATGAGGCAATTGATGTCTGAGTTTTCCAGGCCTAAATCTCCTCGGCGCAGACGATGATTGACACGGAAAAGAATTTCGCAGCCGAAAGCCATTTAAAGAAAACACTGTCATTATCTCTTCGACATATCATTCTCATACGTATGATTCCAAACCTACTGCATTCCGGTTCCATTTGCCGGAAAGAAACCTATTTGACGGATGCGATGAACAGAGGATGGACATCCCACCTCGAGGAATTTATGTCTAGGCAGTGGAGAAGAAGTCCCTTTCCTTCATGGAAAGAACGATGTCATTCAGGACGACTTCTCTTCGATTGTTCAATGAGGAAAATGAACCTAAATTTCAATAAGCACGAAGAGGAATTGCCATGGTATAAAGGCCTTCGATGGCAAGATATGCCGCGAAAGGAGGCAGAAACTTAACGGGAAAGGACAGAGCCGCCGGCCAGGACGAGAGGGGAAGACAATGGAGGTTCCAGCGGCATCCCCTTCCAGCATCTGGAATTCTTTCCGTTTTCCCCTCGGTAATTTAAAGCTCCGTTTGATCTCTCATGGTCTGTATATTCACCTGTAGGATTAACCTTGAGTTTTCAATTCGTTAATTTATTTATGAGGGCAATGTCTCAAGGAATGAAAAAAAGTGAATGGAAAAAGAAATGGAAATGTCTCTTCGCGATGAATATGTGGTTTGAAGAAGAAAGGAAAGACCAGCCACGTGGTCTGTTATGCCATCGTCAATAAAAGGAGAACAGTTTGGTTGCGGCGACTATGATTACATTTAATATAGGTGAACAAAAAAAATTATTTTAAATATTCTTGAGCCCGAGTTCCGAATCGATTAGGAACGCTGGAAGTGTTATTAGGCAAAACGCTATCAACAAGGGCCTCCCTAAGGAATGAGGGAGGGGCAAGAGCGGAGCGCCCCCTTCAGGACAAGGCTTATTCACATTTTATTCATGGCCGAGTCCGCCATGAAGCAATTCAAAAAGGTGATGAGAAACCAAGTGATCCGCCTGTGAATTTCTTTTCCTATAAAGAGGATTTCTATTGCATTTACATTCATTCATAGGCCGAGTCCTGAACCAAGCATTCTGAGCCAATAGGACCCAGAATAGTAATGATGGCCCGAAACCGTGCTACATGTGAAGTTTAGGTTTAGCATATCTGGAAAATCCCGTGATGATAGCTGGCCTCATAGTCCTGATTTTACGACGATTTCTTAGAACCCGGATCGGTATGATCACATTTTCTGACCATCTCGTCTGATTCCCAAAGTAACAAAATCCCTGCAGCTGGAATCCGTCCAGTCACGCCGCGACCTCTCCTCGCAGGAATTGACTGTCTCGCGCATCGGGGTTCGCTCAGTCGCGATGGCGTCTTCGGTCGTGGAGTCGGCGGTGCTCTTGTCCCTCAGCGCCCTGTCCCTCTTCGTCTTGCAGGATTCAGTTGTCACTGGTTAGTTGTCGTTGAATTTATGCTCAATCGACCGAGATATTTCTGGCATTTAGTTCGAGACATGCTGCCATCACTCGAGATATCTTTTAACCTGAAACTTTCAGAGCAGGGTTTAAGTTCAGTGCGAGTAACCAATAACTGTGAATAAGCAGAAGTATGTTAATTTTGCGGACGTGACCCGTACAATTAAGGACTTGGCTGTTTCATGGACTGGTCCAGACTGCGTCTGGACCAGTCCATGGAAGCGATTGAAAGCCAAATTGAGACAATGAAGAAGAAATTAGGAAATAGAGGTTGAAGAACGGTTCGGAATCCCACATTTTGCTAATTCTAGATAGGAGTCGCGACCAGGAGAAACGAAATTTCATTCCTGAAAGATAAAACACGAGAACGACAACATGTGGATGTTATTTAAAGAAAAAAAGGTGAAATATAATCTGATAGATTTCCTAAATTAGCAACTTTTTCTCGAAAAAAAGTCCGGATCATCGGACTCATGCCTGTTCCACGGGTTCATTTTCTTCGTCCCCCAGATGAACTTCCCGTCTCCGCGAGGAATCGGTCAGAAACCATCACATCCGACGTCCCGGTGAGTCCCGCATTTTGTGAAAGGAGGCCAACTTTTAATCGAGTTGATTTTGGCATTTGTGTCCTGCAGGATCGGAAAAAGTCTCTCTTTCTTTTGACAAATTATCTGTATTTTTTATATAAATATATTCTTTTAATTAATTTCACATAGCGTGATATTTGTCGAGAAAGCGTCAAGGACGGAATACTGAAGGTTGAAAAAATCGGAAATTGAGGAATCCGTAGTATTCGTTGAAGAATCGATTCTCGC